ATATTCACAGGGCTATTAAGCAACATACCAAAATTAATAATCCCGCAGTCAACATACGTCGACGTTGATTGTTTAGCCAGTTGAAGAAGAACGAATGAATCTAACTACAAAGGGTGAGTTTGTCCATATTATATTTCAATTATAGCGAATTTTTGGAATAGTTATTGCATAACTTTTATATTTGAAACATGTATTTGTTTATTTTGTATAAAAATTCATATCATCTGCCATTTATAAGAGTAATAAATTACGAAACATTAATAAAAACTATCTTTCCTGTTTAAAAAAAAACTTAATTAACAAACAGTAAGAGACGTCAGTAAACACTTAATTAAAACTAAGTTTATTTCTAATAATACTGATAAGATTCCATAGATTTTAAGCTGTTTCATTGTTTTAAGACTACTATTAATAAGCATATTTGAACTCCTCTGTTGTCACAATATGTAGAAGCGTGAATCGCTAGCGGAGCTTACAAGGTTTGTGTCGAACGAACGAGCTTGATACGTTGTCGGACACTGGGTAGGGATTACGAAGGCTTATGCACATTTTGTAACGTGTATGTACGGAACATTTTATAATAAAAATATAAAGGAATTTATAACTTTATATTAGTCTTTACATGTTTCTAAAAATTAACAAGACGCATTCGTAAGAATTTTGATCATTAAGTATAGTCGAAAACACAGAAAATATAGGTTTTAAATTATTGATTAATGTAGTTAAAGGTTTTATTAGGTTTGTTAATAAATGCCTCGTACTTTTTAAATATATGTCCCCGATAATGACTTCAAGTTACAAAAATTACCGAACTATTTATTTATTTTTTAATCCATCTCAAATACTGCAGTCAACTAATAAAAAAAATATGATAAGTTTGTAGACTTGTATTATCCACAGTAAAAATATGGAAAATATTAATAGTTATAAGTAAACAGAACTAGAACCATAATATATTGTCTGTGTATTCGTTAACTATCAAGTTCCTACCCTAAATCGCGTTTGTTTTGAATAATCGCAGTGAAGCCGCAGGATATTTGGACAATGTCCATTCAACTAAAAGGACCACTTGCATAATATCTTCGTATCGCATAGCATACGACTTCCCAACTACTTCCGAAAATTAAAATATGATTGTATTTCATAAAATTCGTATAAGCAAACTAAGGTTACTATAGAATTAAATTATTAAGAACATTTTAATAAAAAAATATGTGACTATCTTTCTACATGTCGTGGAATTACCGTGAACAACTACAATGGCATACTTTAGCGATGAATTTTACATTCTGTTTTATTCAATAAACGAATTATTTGCATCCGACGGAACTTTTACATTTTTTTTATTGCAGATTTTATTCATGTTAGCTATGTAATGTATTTCAAACAATTTTTTGTATCATTATTATCTTGGGCATACAACGAATTCATTTATTTCTTCAAAATATAGAATTATTATAATACAATAACAAGATCATGTAATAGGTATTGTAATAGTAAAACTTAGACTTTATAATGATATTTCCCGTTATTGTCAGTAGAAGTTTTCACTATCTTTTGTATTATAATGATGGCAGTGAGAATTTACTTCAATAAATATTTTTATGATTCCAAATAATAATATGGTAAAAATAGAATAAAAAATAATAGAATATAAGGTACAGTGAGATAAATAAAATTAAATATTGCGGCACTATCTCATCTAAATAACGATTCAAGTGACGAGTATCAAGCAAAATTTAATTGGCATGGTAATGAACCTCATGATAAATGAAATCAAGCGTCCATTTTGTAGTCACAAAAATATTTATTACATAATATTCATTAAAAGAAGACTTATTTCCAACGGCCCTTAATTTTAACGTTGAGGACGCGGTTAAAAAGTTTAGCAATCATCGCAGATTACACAGTGATTATAAAGATTTTTACTATTTTTCAACGTTTCATGCCATTTTAGTTTTTAAATTTGGTTTCATGAAATTTGGAATTTTTTATTTGGCTCTATAATATTTTCAAGACTTAGTTATTATTCTATAGTCGATGACGTGAATAGTATATATTTAAAAATTTAAAATATATATAGAGAAATAGATATCTATGAACGTTGAGAAAAGAAATAATAATTATAAAAGTGTTAAGTATTTTCAAATTCTAGGAAAGAATGAAAATAAGAGTACAAAAGATATCTTTGAAAAGGCTTTCATAAAACTCTCATACTGATAATATATTTTATAAATATAAATTTATTTTACAAAACTAGTCGATTTATGAAGGACCATAATGGTCTTAATGTATTTTTTTAATAACTTTAAAATAATTATTATGAAATATATTTTTGTTAAATTTTAATGTATCTTAATTTCGACTTAGGAACGATAAAACTTCTTAAAAAATATAGTTACATAAACTAATTTATATCCATACAGGATATAATTATTACCTAATTTTAGCATACTGTATAATAAAATAAAATTATATTTAACCACATACCAAAATATGTTATTTATGTATCCCTTGTTTTTGTTATATTAGTCTAATCCGAATTACCTTTACATTCCGAAAAAACTTTATTAACGAACCCAACTTCATACAATAGTAAAAATGTTTTAGTAGAGTATAAATTAATTAAATAGATAAAAAAAATCCATATTCCTCATATTTTTTTATTCAATTCTTTGTATTTTGATTCGACAAATGTAATATACAGTACAGAACATTCGATTAGTGAGAAAGTTAAAAATGCTTATCAAAACAGACAAACGGGGGACAATCGTAATGTAAACTGTACAAGTTCACAGTTGTAGGTTAATAGGACAACGGGGCTGCAAGCACACTCTAGCTGGCAACCCTTAGGTTAACTGTGTGAAAGGGCGTTTTGCTTTTAAACCTGTAAATATTAGCTATAAAAACTCTCCAATTAATATAATAAAAGTAAATTGCAATTCATAAAATGGTAATAACCTCACAAAAACTTTATTATGGTAAACATTTCTATAAATTTACATGGTTTTTTATGAATACAGCAAAACATAAAACTTTAATTAGGAAATGAACTATTTGTACGGTTATAATACATATATCCATCAAATGAAACGCAATACACATAGAGAAGCAAATGTTACTAAGTATATTAAACAGTTTAAATGTAAAAACCGGTAGAGAGATATAACAAAAATTAACATTTTTAAAATCACTAGTGTTGTATAAAACCGGCAAACGTTTCGAATCATGGCAAACATTTCACTACTTATATCGGAAATGTTCATTGCAGATTTTATAATTTAACATTAACAATCTAACAATAGCTCTAATGATGATATTTGATATAGAATCACATACTATTAAAATGTGTATATACTTAAAATTTTCCCTAAATTTTTCTCTATAAAAATTAATCCTTCAACAGTAGGTAATAGTGTAAAATATTTACTTAATATGATATGCAAATATTAATTTATAATCTAATAGTTAAAAACAGATACATGACTTGTACGATAATAGAAACCACATGACAAGCTTCTTCTATAGTTAAAACTAGTGTCATGCCGAATACAAAACGAAAAAGAAAAATTCGTATCCATTACTATATATAGTTGTAATTATTAAATATCAAAACTACTATAGACAATTTCTTTTACTTTGAAATAGTTTACTATAAACTATTTTATTAACAACAAGACAAAAACATAGAGTAAACGTCAACTATTTACTATTGTTTTAACATGAACTAAATCGATAAAGGTACATCAACTTTTTAATTTCTAATATCTGAATAATGAAAATCAGTAGATATTCTGAAAAGTTAAGCACATCATTACTTAAAAGATAAATGAGGTTCAGCGTATGTTGCTAGACTTAAAAAGTTTAAATAAATTTTACATCATATTCTATTGCTAATATTTTGAAATATGTATACTTTAATACTTTTTAATTTATTATATAAATTCTACTAAAAAATGGGTTTTAAGCAAATGATCTTCACTAAGTATCTACTAACAAACATTTATTTTGTTTTCCAGGTTGCTTGCGTCCTTCAACAATGCACAGCGAATTTCACTACACAAAACAATTCTACAACACATTTTCATATATAAATAAACCAACAGTTAAATTAAAATATATCATCAACAGGGAATAAATATTTAAAAAAATTGTCAGGAACATAATTGTTAAAGATATTTGAATGGCATATAATATGTAAAATAGTGTCCACTTCTAAGATTATTAAACAATAAATTAGTCCCTTAATGCTTTTAATCTTTTAACGAAATTTTTTTTTCTTTTTAAAATGTCCATGCTGTTAGAAAAAAATATGTTTAGTAGTACCTACTATACAAAGATTGAGATATAGTTAGTTAAATCTTGAAAATATAATAATCTTCACCATCACTTTTCATATGGAATACAGTAGTTATGGAAAATATAATGTTACACTGTGTTACTGTTTTTATTATAAAAATACTAAGTGATAGATTCACGTCTTCCCAACTAAATGTAAAGAATTAAATTTAGAGCTATCACTATCTACCCAAAGAAGATAGCAAAAACTTCTACAGAAAAGTAATTACCGTATAGGAGTTTAATTCGACAAAGTAGGTTAGTTAAAAGCCCATAAGACAAGCTTTCCTTTTCCAATTTAATTGTTTATCCATCCTTCTCCAATCTTTAAAACCTTCACAATAATACATTTTGGAGATAAACCTACAGTCAACTTCCAGTCTTTTTCTACCACAGCTACAATCCCAACTTCAAGAAATAAAATAAAAGATTTGTCAAATTGGGTTTACTTCATTACCTCTTGGCATCCATTCAAGTATTGCCGCGAGCCTGCAGTAAATACATACATAAATTCTCAAACCCTATTTGCCACATAGTTTTAAATTAAAAAGTAATTATAAAAATCTTTATCAGTTCATAAAAATACTCAATTATTGTAATAACTTCTGATGATATAATTCAATTAAAAATAACACGTAACCTACACCAAAACACTACACAAAATGCAAAGCGATGGTAATTTATTCATCTACAGTGCTATGGGAAAGTACGGAGACGAGAAAGGAGAAGATGGCCCTGAAAAAATGTATATCAAACAGGATGTATTTCTTTGTGCTTGCTTTGCGTTATTTGTCTGAGCGAAATGTGAATTATGGTAAGTAGCTATTCCATTAATCCCTAAATAGATATCTTTTCATACAGGTCACGTTAAAACGAATTGGTAATTCAAAAATATGTCCCCGTCATCATTCACCACGTGCCAGTATGTTGATGAACAGAAGTCAGTGTTATTTCCCGCATAATTTACATAGAGATAGATGAACGTCCCGCGGGCCGCGCACCCGTTGAATTTCTATTGTTTAGATTGGAAAACTAAGTGCACCGTCCTAGTTGACTTTCTCCTTCATTATTAGATTGCTGATTTTGTCACAAGGAATCCTCACGGCATTCAGATTTCGTCTTAACCTCTCATTCGGATGCGCATTGCTTTCAATTCAGTGTTACCAGAAATAATCAAGTCAGGTCACGGATGTGATTCAAAGGGGATTAAAATATTAATTTAAACCAATGCCGCCATTAAGAAGACAATCGAAATAACAGCTAGATGTGTATGGGTGAGGACGAATCGATTTCCTAATAGCTCTGTGTGGCCAGCCGACCCACTGGAGATTGACTCATTTGCACTGCATTACATTACCGAGTGACACGAACAGCCACTCTCATCATGCCCGTAATGAAGAGATTGCATACATTATTTTATCAATTGCTGATTTATTTCCATTTTTATTCATACATATTATAATATATACATTTAATCTAAATTTCGTTTGTTTTGATATTAAAAAAATATAAATACATATTACCCGTACATCTAAATAAATAAACTTTAATGAATCTTAATAGATCGTCAGCATTGTCGTGATATAAAAAAGTTTAATCCAATACTATAATATAATATGGTTCACTCCCAAATGTGTTCTGTGATCACACTAAATAGAATATAGGTATGTATTATGTACACAGCGATGCAAAGTGCGGCCTCGTTAATCGTTTCACGTGTGTACAATCACTTTGAAATCGATCCACCAATCAACAGTCAGCTCTAGTGTCGAGTAAGATATTTCACACGTTTCCAGGTGAGATGAATACATACCTCTGTGATAAACAAGCTTTACGAACAAACCCTGTGAAATGTCATTTCGTTGATAAAGTGATGAGATATAAGCGTTACGTACGGAGTGAAATGCAACACGTGCTTTTACAAACTGTACTAGAAATGCTATTGTTGTGACTAGTACTACATTTCAATTAAATTTATGCAATCCATTTAAGATTATAGATTTTACATTATAAAAAAAATGTTCATTAATTCCCTTTACACTATTATTAAAACGTTTCTTAATTAAAACATCTTGGAATTATATGAGGTTTTATATTTAACATAAATTCTTTCTAAAATACTTACAATATTTTATTACTACCCATGTCCGTACATGCTGACGCCATCATCCCTACAGAACTATAAAAAAACACTGGGTCCACTTGATTTTTTGATACTCGTATATTTTTTTTTATTATTTTTTGTCTATGGCTTGCAAAATCAAAAACACACTCAAGTGCGTATATTGACAGAGTGTTTTACATTTTAACCGGTTTGAAATATAAATATAATCCTAAATACTTGACATTTTACGGATATGTACGAAAATAAAAATTATGTTAATAGCATTAGCTTCAATAAAAAATTGTGAATGTAAAGGTTACTTCGATTCAAAAACCTTCAATTTAAAGAAGACTACATTCACGATACATAAAAATCGTTTTATAAAAGATATTATTATTTTAGAACAATTGAACCATACACTAGAATTATTGCAATAATTTGCAAACTTCTAATAAATTGGTATTTTAATCATAAAATATTTAATATGCATTTTTTATTAAATTCTAACAACTTACTTATTCATATACTACTGAAGGGATTTTTTAACCCGCATTTTTTTAATCATACTTATACATGGATGTAAAACAAGTATGAATGAAAAAAATGTTCTAGAGAACGCACTTCAACAATTTGTTCTATTCGCTGACGTAATGCTTTTGATTTACGACGTTCTTTAAAACTAACATACTATAAACCATTTGCTCGATTATTTTCTCGTATATACTTACACGTAAATATTTTTTCTAAGGTGAAGTAAAAGGTAAAATAATCCCATTTCTATACAAAGTTTTGCTCTTAAATTAACATGACGTCATCAAATTAAGGTCTGTTTCTTTTGAATAAGTGTATAGATAAATCCCTTCCGCGAAACAAGATAATTTGAACTAATATAATAATTTATTGGATATAGCAGTAAGGAAATGTTTAAGAAACCAATCTTTTCAATAGTTATTTTTATAGACAAAATATGGAATAATAATAATTATAACTTTTTGTTATAATACAAAAAAGATTTTTACATCAAAAAACATCGTAATTCCTAACGATACATATACCTGTAATTATGTGCTGTTTGTTTTCAAAACCAAGAAACAACTTATACTTCTATTTTAATAATTAATGACATATTTATTTGATCTATAACACGTTTCACCAATTATACACGTGCTCAATATGTAAGAGTTCATGGTTTGAGATAGTACAAAACGATATTTTTTTCCTTTGAAACCTACAAACTGACAAATTACTGTAATAATTATAAGCTGTTTAAATAACTTCAAAATTCATTAACATTACACTCTATCAAGTGACGAGTATAAAAACAAGCATACGAATCATATTAAAATTAGTTAGGTTGTGATATAAAAAAAAGTACCTAAAATAAAATCTAGACCACTGTAAACAAATATATAAAAATACGAATATTAATTACACTCTATATACGTATACATTTAAGCATTGCAATAAATAGCATTCCTTTAACCCACAAAACTGATTGAACTATTATTCGTCTATCTTAGCAAAGAATAACATCAACCGTATCAAAAGGTCAGTGTCCTATGACGAAATAAACAATTTCGCATGGCCGCCATACAGCGTCATCTAGTTCAAACTTCGAACATCATGAGTGCAACTGATAACCAAGCATGTTATTCCAGATGTCGCTACATGCAGAAGGATGTGCAAAATTTGTGATAACAAAAATGTCAAGGCCAATGTTATAAATCTGAGAATAGTATTACATTTTCTTTGTTTTAGTCGTTAATAGTTGTCAAATTAAATATGTTTTACGCAAATTAAGAATTATTTATACATTATATAGCCTGTGTTATAAATATTTTGTTCAAAATCAGTTTTAACAAACATAACCTCTTCTTTGTGTCTACGGAGGAAATATAATTGAAGTATTATACTAAAAGGTATTCTTTTTCATCTCTATTTATTATTTTAATAAGTTGGCATCCAGTGTGTGCTTTTACATCACCATTAAAAACTTTTTTATCAAAGGAAACTGTAAAAAAACCAAAATAATGTTGCAAAATTTAAATTTAGCGCGTCGTTTAGAAACGCATGAAGTTCGCGTTGCGAATACTGGCCGATTATGATGTGAAAGATATTCCGAAGGCCGTGAGGTGCCGTGAGTGAACACGGAAATCGAGATGTGTGTGTGGTCAAAAAGACAGTGCAAGGTAGGGGTCGGGTGGCGTTTGTGATGGCAAAATTTTTGCAAATGGTGAGTTAGGAATCATTGACTTTGTGTATATTATAGTTGTTTTATTAATTGTGATGGTGAATTAATTGAGTGTTAAAGAATATTTCATTGTTGATTGATAATTTTAAGAATCTGAGATACGGGAACTGCAAATGGCGCTACGAATAGTCAAAACTTGACACAACTACGCGTTTAGAAATCCCGTTCGTCCTTAGTTGTTCAATTTTTGAACACTCCGAGTGTTTAGTGGTAACAGCAATAATGGTGCATTATCAAATACCTGAAACCACGCGTTTGAAATTAGCAACTGGCACATCCAGCTTGGCGATTATAACGGTGTCAGCATGTTGCGATTTTTTTGGCCAGCGGTACTACTTTTCTAAACTCGTTTTATAGACGGCTAGAGGTTTTCGCGTCCCGTAGGGTCGGTGGCCCCGTCGTCAGCATTCTGGAGTTAAATTACATAATGTATGGGTCTAGTTTGGAGCATGCAACAAGTAGATATGTGTCGGCGCTCGGCGGTCTAACTGTCAATGTGGAGTACAGTAAGGTTGCTGCCCGCGGCCCCTATTAATTCGAGCCGCTGATGTCACTTATCTCTGCGCTCTACTATCTAGGCCCTATGGCCGCCAATTTTTTGCACATTATAATTTTAATATAAATCTAGTCCCACCACACGTGTTTAATTACTCTGGGCTTCAGATAGGTATAAAAACAAGAATAGACAGCAACCCTATTTGTGTGTTTATAATATTGGAGTTGCGAATTTATTATATTGGATTTATTGCTTTGTTAACTGTTCATTACAGCTTTTGATTATTTTTCAGCACGATCACTGACACTAGCACCAACAATGGACCAGCAATTTTGTTTGCGCTGGAACAATCATCCAACCAACCTGACAGATGTGCTTGCAAGCCTATTACAAAGAGAGGCACTATGTGATGTTACACTAGCATGCGATGGGGAAACAGTCAAGGTAAATAATACCTTTTATAAATGATATTCATTTTAAGATAATTAAATTATTCGTAACAAAGAATATATCTAATTCTATGAAGGTCTAGAAAGTTAACCGATGGTGTCAATAGCGTTAGATTCACTAAACATTATTTACAATACAAATACTAGTTACTAGTCGTTATGGAATTACATAAATATTTTTTTGTTGTTACATTCATGCCAGTGTTTATTTATTATGTCATAACAAAATGCATACAATAGTAAACAAACATAAGTTATGATTTTAAAAACAATAATTAATCAAGATGTCATGATCATTCTCACAGTATGATTTGTAATCATTAAAGATAATTTATGAGATAAATATATAAAGATTTAAATCCCTAAACGGGCTAATGCTTGTGTATTACGCATAACAAATGTAGTACTAGAACATTTTTATATTTAAATATTCACATATTAATTCATGTTATTTGATTCAAAGTTTTCCATTTGATGAGCCACTAAGCCAAGGCAGACTGGTAGTAGATTTAAATATTTGCTTATTTCACAAGGTTGCAAACCATAATAATTCAGTGTTGCAAAAAAAAAAAGTTTACATATATTTATCTAAAAATATGATATATGGAAATCAGTTTTAGTGCCTTTATGATTACGGAACATTTATAAATATTTATAACCTGACAAAGAAAAGTTGATTCCCGGCCTATATCTTTGATATATTAAATTGTCAAATATATCACATGATACAACTTTATTTCAACATTTGTTTCTTTGATATTCAACTGAAATCTCTTTGGATATAATTTACACATGACTAAAAATCAAAGAAATCTTTTTTTTTTCATCTTCAAAGATTGATTGCAGTTTGTTTATGACAAATGAGAAACTAAATTTAATATATGAAAACAAAGTAACTGTAATAAATTTTACAATATTCAATTAAAATAAATTAATACTTATAACAATTCTAGCAAATCTTAATCAAGTTTTAAGACAATAATTTGCTGGTGATATCTTAGTTTCTAAATTTTTTTCCTAAATCTATGAAAGTTTATGCTAATAAAATGCAATTTACTTTGTAGGTCGACAGTGAATAGTTTAGGTAGGAGTATGCAGAAGATTTGCAAGTTTTTAACTTTCTAAATTTTATGGCACTAGTTTGGCAAGTTTTAGGGTTTAGAAAACAATATTAATGTATTACTCTCATCGGTAGCCACACATTCCTTATATTTTGTATATAAATTTCGCAATATAACTAATATTTAAATAAATTCCAAACCATATAAACTATTACACAGATTTTGTTTTGTGTTCACAACATTGAAAGCAAATTGTAGACCGAAAAATTTATTTAAATGATAATAGGTTTATGAAAATGGTGCTTAAATATGTACATGTAACAATTATAACTGTAAAGACCTTCAGACTGAAATTCTTTTGTTTAATATATGTATTATTGTAGGCTCAATGACATATATGTGTTTTATTTTAGGCACACCAGACAATACTATCAGCTTGTTCCCCGTATTTTGAAAGTATATTCTTACAAAATTCACACCCGCATCCCATTATATTCCTTAAAGATGTGAGGTTCTCAGAGATGAAATCTCTGTTAGATTTTATGTATAAGGTATGTACTTATTATATAATAAATAACATTTTGTTATACATGTATATAATTTAAATTGATTATATATTTATATTCAATACACATTTTAGGGAGAGGTGAATGTTGGCCAAAATATGCTACCGATGTTCCTAAAGACTGCTGAAAGTTTACAAGTTAGAGGTTTGACAGAGAATAATACATTGAATACTAAGGTGAGTTTCTTTTAATTTAACACATAAATTAATGTAAAACAAAAAACTATTCCATTTTAAAATATCAGAAATTAAATTTATAATAAAATTTTGGAATTCCATGTAAATTATACATAAAAGTGGTTTTTAAAGAGTTGTTTGCCGTTAGAACGGTAACATCGATTTTGTATACATTTATATTATAAATTAACAGTTACTGGGCCGTTCTATCTCGCAAGGGTGGAGATAATGTTAAAATTCACTGTATACACTACGTAGAGATAAATGATCTTGTTTCTTAGATGCTATCTCGTTCATAGATAGATTATACATGTCCTAATTTTATGCTTGATCCGAAAATAGCACCCGAAAACGCGTGTTTGAAAAAAAATTCTATACCTAACATTCTTGCGTCGGCATAAGAAAATTTAGTATTGCATAGTTATAGTGCAGTTCGCTTTGACTAATTTAAGATGAATATTTTACATCAGTTACTAGAAGAATTACTGTTTTGAATTATTACCTTGTTGCTATGTGTACAGTTGAACTGATTTCATATTCTCTTACAATTGAGAATCATACATTTCATTACGTATTTTACTGGACTTTCGCCGTTAGTTTTCTACCGATGTTATTATGATGACATAAAATAGTAAAAAATATATTCTTATATTGTTAAAGATAAAAAAATACAGGCTCATGTCGTACGTTCTAGTAATTTATTTTATTCACGTAAAATAAATTAACCAATTATTGATGTATCAAAATGCGCTAGAGCGCCAGACAGACAAGTCTGGCATATTGCTTAGAAACAGTAGGTACAGTGGCCTTGAAGTTTGGGTGAGCAATGACCCTTTATTTATGCGAATTTATTGCTAAATTATAGTGTTCGTACCTAGTTAAAGGCAATCGATGGCACGACGCCTAGACGAATAACAAAGCGGTTATAAATACTAGCATTTAAAACATACCTTTTATTTATTATTTTATATTAAATATATTTTTTTTTTGTATTTACATCTTTAATAATTTATGCATCAATACGTGATTGCAACTGGATTTAAGCATCATAATAGTGCGTACTCACGTTAGTTAATAACAAACAGGTTAATTATAATATCTCAATTCCACAAAGATGCGCATACGCAGACCTCACGTGCAGATATTTACTACGGACTCGTTTACAGACCGGTTCCTTAAAGCAACTGTCACATCATATTCCGGTACATTACTATATAAAATTTTCACACTTTCGTGTGTCGACAAAATTAATTAGTGTATTTCATCAAGATAAATCTCAGGCCGGGTTCTCGAACTTAACTTTAAACAGCGATTATAACAAATTAATGTTCCCAAAGTGACATTAAATTTGTTATTCTTAATTACCGTTCATTAAGACGCATGTCCATTAAAACGAAATTTATAATATTATCCGTATACATAATAGTATCGAATGTAGCTGTAATATTTGATGTATCCACATTTTCGGGATTCGATACGAAACTTGTATATCGTATAATAAAATGAAGTACCGACTAGTATGAGCTTCATAGATTAACCGTTAAGCTTAAAATTATTGCACATTAGTTAAAGAGGTCAACAATGACCAACAGGCAGCATTACATACATGGTGTTGCCGCTTCTATATCAGCACCGTAATTCGTAATAAAATTCCCCGTACACAATCTTTAAAATCATTAATAAAACTCCTTTACAATTTCTTTGTGATACCGTTGGTAATGCAAAACGTTTTTATCCCTTGCCGGAAGCGGCATAAGTAAAAAGCGTTAAGGATGAGAGAGCGATGGAGAAACATTTTTAATTGGTTCAAACTATTTCTTAGCTCAATAAACTTAAAAAAAAAAACCAGTCACGCAAGAGATTTCGCGTGTTAAAGGTTCTGATTATTTCCATTCGTTGGACAACGTAAGAGTTCGTTGTTCCTTATAATTTTTGTATAACACTAAAAGCTTTAAATATACCGTTTCAGTTTATAATAAATGAAATGATAACATATAAATTTAATTTAATATTCCATCAACCTAGATCATTATTTATTACTACACTTAATCTGACGAACGACCAGAAACCGTTATGGGTTAACATGGGAATACTTATAAAGTTATTCACTATCGAATATCAACTAAAAAAACCACGTTATCTTTGTACATAACTGATTTACAAAAAGATAGTTAAAACTGTGATAGTATATTTTTATATTTGTAAATAAAATTTATATTCAATACTGTTTGGGGTAATAAATCATCGTATATCTGTTAAGATTAATTACTTTCATACTTTATATGTTTACTTCTACCGGTACATACTGTAACTGTAAATATTTGTAATATAATCTTATATTATAACGTTAGTCAGAGGAGCGGTCGACTCCGAGTGTGAGTGCTGAGAATTTATCCCGCGGTGAGTTCGCCACACCGCCTGCTGCTCATGCGCTTGCTGCTCTAACGCCGCTGCCGCAGTCACAGTCACTGCAGCAGTCGTTGCCGCAATCACTGCCGCAGCCGCTGCCGTTGCCGTTGCCGCCGCACGCGCCGCTAGAGAAACGTCGCAGGAAGAACTCCACCGCTCCAAGGGACGATATCGATCTGTCCTACCGTCATTATGAGGTGAAAAAGGTTTTAGGAACGTTTCATATTCATCTATCTCAATAGAAAAGTACCTATGATTCAGCAATTAGTTTAATATGATATAGCTATAGCGAATATTTATGAATTGCAAATTTGATTTTAATGTCAAAATAGTTATTATCGACTAATTGGACTTTCACTTCAAAATTCTTCGACAGCTTTTAACATATATTAATAAGTTAAAATATTATAATATCATAAAGTTTTCTTGTATTATCAAACCACTATAACAAGATCTGTATCCAGGGGCACGTGAAGGCTAGCAAGGGTTCAACCGGTTCTGGTTCCGAGCCATCAACTCCTCCGCCAGCCCACGGGCGCGCAGCTCGCTCACCATTGCTCGTTAAACAAGAACCAGACTACACGCAGCATCACTACGAACAGACTCACCTCACGGTCAGTGTGGAAGCACACTTACATTACGTATTAACGTGTGATACATCCTTTATATAATATAATGCTTATGCGATTAGTGTGGATATACCTTTATAGTGTGGTTCCACCTTAATATATCTCAATGTGCATAAATGTACTGTGTAGATATACACTTACAGGAACTGAACGTCAGTATGGACTTACAAATATGTATAAATCTACAGAAATCAAACAGATTTTAAGACTCAGGACTTAATGATAAATATTCAGTGTCGTTTATTACAATTTCAGTCATTTTATTTTCTTTTATTTCTAATGACAGGCACGATCTTTTTCTTTTGTATTTAATTTGTAACGTTCTTTCCTAAGTTTTTTTTTAATTTCCATCAAAAATTTAAATGACAACAGAAAGGAAGGGATCTGCGTGTTACTAAAATATATTGAATTGCTTCGTTGCAAAGTAAAGCAGATCCTTTCCTTCTGTTGGCAGATGGAGGAGCCAGACGGTCAAGACGTGTCTGCGAGGCGAACTCATACACCGCGCAATATTGACGAAAACATAACAAATCATTCCATTCTAGAAACGATTCTATCAAAATCATCGACTAAACGTTCTAAATCATTAAAATCACGCCCCGTCAAACAATCAGCGCGATTCAGATCAAACTGGTTATCATATTACAAATGGTTGAAATATGATAAGAATAAAAACATCATGTACTGTACATATTGCAGAAAATGGTCTCACGAACTGAGCATTCAAAGATCATCGTTTATAGAGGGCAATTCAAATTTCCGTCTAGAAATTGTTAATCATCATTATAAAAGTAAATCGCATAAGTTTTGCGAAGAACGCGAGCTAACTGCCAATTCGAAAAGGAATTAAAAGACTGTATTTTGTATTTTTTTTTTAATAAACGATAAATAATATGAAATTAAATTAAATCAAAAATCTAATATAAAGGTTTTATTTTTTTAATCCACAATTAGACCAAGGTCAACACGTACTGTGATTAATAAGTGAGAATTAATTATGTTTTCATCATAATTAATATATATGGCCGGCTACGAATTTCAGGGAATGGGTGTGAATGATATGGCATCAATGATAACCCAGCATTCAATGAACAACGATTGCAACGAGAGCGAACCCGCCATGCCGCCTCATCCCGACCAGACGGACACCATTGACGGTGAGTTAAAAGATTTATAGAACAATACTTAGTAGGAGTTATCATCGTCAACCTAAATACTGATAGTTTACTCGTTTTCACCAACCATATATATGATGATTACATTCAAAGAATTTCAAACTTTCGGTCCAAGTTTTGACAATGCCAACTCCAACTAAATGCATAAATAACAGATTATAAATATTCCGTAGATTAAAAGTAACCGGCATATATGTAATCTGTGCGGTTCTGTAGTGACTGGGGGATTTATTGCGTTACATATAATCGAGACCGGCCCGTTATGATATAAAACCGTCATGAAATTACGTTCCTTTTACGGTTTTTATTGATGAAAATTATTAGAATTATTATTACAGTTGACGGTTACTTAACATCGAATGGGCCCGTCTCGATAGCTTATTTATTTGTTTATATAATTTGCTCTGAATAACGCTTGCTGATATATAGGAATGAAAATTTATTATTGTTTTAATAAAATTTAATTCCTATATATCAGTACATCAGTAGTACACTATCACGCATGCGCAAACCATTCACCCTCCGCATGTTCTGTGATGTGCTTACAATATCATATTAATTTGCACTTATCATACATTAATGCTTTTTAATTTCATTCTTTTTAATGCTTTTTTAATAATTTTCTATTTTATGAAGAAATCGGTGTGAAATGTATTCGATACAATGATTTGGCGCCCCCGCTGGGACATAGGTTATATGCAATATTATTGGTGAATTAAAATGAACACTACGAAGTTTTTAGTGTGTTTAAAAAAAATCTAGCATGTAAATATGGTTAAGGCGACATGTGTAAGAGTGCGCTAGTGGTTTGTAGTTCATATGAAGGATATTAGGATATATTTTTTTGTGAGTTAAGTAGCATGCCAAATGATAAATGCCAACTGTGAAGCAGTTAAATATATTGCAGGTGATAAATATGCGGACGAAAATGATATACCTCAAGAGCATTTCGGCCACAATATAACAAATATTGAGAATATAGTAAAATCTTTTAGGATAGCATTAAATCATAGATCACACAGTCCAATGACATGTCAGATATGTGGTAAAACTGTAAGCAATATCAAGAAGCATATGAAATCACACAATCCAGAACAACACAAATGCCCTCTATGTCCGATTATATTAACTAGGGCTGACAATCTAAAACGACATCTAAGAATGAAACATTGTTCAGTACTAGGTCTTAATAATATATCCAATATTCAAACCAAATGTTAGATAGAATATTGTCTCTTGTCTAGATTAGCCAAAAAAATCTCGAATTTCTTATAGGTTAAAGATCTGAAATCTGCTTATTGCATTTATACCTACTGTCCATTGGAAAGGTCTTACTAACAATTCACAAGCAGTTATTTTTTAATTTATGTAATTATCCTCTCCTTAACAAAAAATAAAGAGAAAACTGTATTTACTGTTTTTTGTGAAATTCAATTTTTTTTATTGCAACTTTTGTATTAAGAACAGTATTAAGTGCAGATTCTCTTTTGTATTTTGACTATACTTTTAACTAACAAGATGCGCTTTACATTAATATCGATGGTTACCAAAATATTTGTAAGTTATGTATTTAGAATTAAGGTGTGGTGTGTTTTATGAAAATTTTGGTATTTAAAATTTGTTTGAGGGGTAACTATTGTATACTTATTTGAATAACATCACTTGATTATTAATAAAAACTCATTTTTCACTTCACTCATATAACAACATCATCTTTCTTCTAAACAGAAATTTCAAAAGCAACTTCACATCAGAACCAATAGTTTCCAAAAATAATGATATTGACATACCTAGCATACATTTTTCATCATTCAGTTCTTTATAATTTTTCACAGAAATAACCTTATCAAAATAATGATTTCCTAATTAAATACCTAATATTTATTTTCATTTGTCATTAAAAGAAATTTGGAATTACTTAAAAATAACCGATCCCACCATTACATCATGCCTCTTTGATAATCAAAAAAAATTGGAATCTCTTAGTTTAATATTTATTTGGAACATGGACAAAATTTTATATTGTGTATGTTTTAGTAATGATAAGTGTGAAAAGATCGGATATCATGTAAGATTATTTTTTAATGTTTGTTGTGTATTTTTTTGATATCATCAAAAATTTGTGCCTTAAATATTTTTATAAATGAAATCCGGTCTATTATAATGTCCAAAGCTATGATCTCTTAATGTTCCTCATAGAGTTTGTAAGGAAACAAGTAAGTTGTCAGTTATTTTAAGACTGATAATTAAAGTATGTGCTCTAGGGAAAAGCCTCTTGGTATTAATTTATTTCATAAATTCCAATTAAACTTAATTTTTTTTTTGTAATTAAGTTGATCGTTACTGTGTGTTCGTTGCAAATATAATCCTTTATTTTTACATATTTCTTTTCATTTTCATCCTATTTCCATGCTTTCTTTTATTTATAGCAAAACCTATATCTTAATCTGCAATATGTATACAGCCTTGGTGACAGTAAAAAGTAACAATCACATGCAAATATTAACACAAATAATAACAGACACCATTTCTTCAATCATTGATTCATTACTGCATGGATCTCTTATTAAAACTATCATACTAAAAGTTATTTTGAAGTTTTGTTCAAATAATTTTAAATAAATTAATCTTTATAAATGCTTTTAATAGTGCTAGGAGGAGCAAATAGTATAGCATTAACAAATTTATTAAAAGCTTTTTGAATAGTGCTAATAATATGTTAATTACCCATACTTAATCAGTTCTATTCTATTCGTCTACAGTAGAAACTGGAAAAAACTTAGAAAATCAATACAAAAAAATATATTTTTGTAAATGTGTGAATTAGTGTTCTCTTCCTTATATCGATAAAGCTTCTCCATATTCTACTGTAGTATTGTGACGTCACAAATTGTATTTTGTAACCAAGATTTGTTAGTTTATATACCTAATTTCTAAAAAAAAAAAATAAAATCTTACAATGTATAAATAAATGCATCCCAAAAAAAGGGCTTAACAATAAAAATGGCCTAATCGTTATAAGCGCACCGACCGTTGTATTGTGAGTGTGTTGGGTCGGTGTAGGCCATTTTTAGGCGAGCCGTGACGTGTCCGGGTGAGTGTGAGTGAGGGCTCGCTGGTTGCAGGCTCGAAGGGCTGGCACATGAGGCTGACGTTCGAGCGTGTGGCGGGCGCCCTCAACCTGCACCGCTGCAAGCTGTGCGGGAAGGTGGTCACTCACATCAGGAACCACTATCACGTGCACTTCCCTGGACGGTTCGAGTGCCCGCTATGCCGCGCCACCTACACGCGCTCGGACAACCTGCGCACGCACTGCAAGTTCAAGCACCCGGCTTACAACCCCGACACGCGCAAGTTCGAGGGCGCGCCGGTGGCCGTGGGCGCGGCTGTGGGAGTGGGCGTGGGCGGCGCTCACGGGCCCCACGCTGCTCACGCGCCGCCGCCGTTGTTCGCGAACCACCTGGACGCGGGCTTCGACTGATCGTCCGCGTACCGGCTCCGGCTCGGCCTCGACGGCCTCGAAGGTCTCCACGGCCTCGACGGCCTCTGAACGCCCGTGGCCGCGACCCGATAGAACGTTCTCCTATTTAGGATTAAGCTGAAGTGCTATTACTTAAGCGGGCCTTCGTTGAGTTCTTAACACTCGTTTTAGTATTGTCTCGGTTGTGCGTTTGACTTGCCCCAGTGTGACCTTGTATATTGATTCCTCGCGGACATGTTGACGATTCCGTAACGGAGTTTTACCTTAAGTCGATGTTACTAAGATAATGACTCGAAGCGTATGTAAGTAGGTAAGCAAAAATTTTTTTCTATACCAATCGCTATACGGGAACGGGCAAAAGCAATAATATGATGTTAATTTTTATTACCATATTATTTTTTTATATTGTATCGATAGAAATCTTAAGCTATTTAAATATACACTTATATTGAGTAGCGGTGCGACCGCGAAGTGATGCTGGCTATTAACGACCGCCCTCGGACGGGCCCCCATTGTCTTGTTATATTTATTCTTTAGATAGGAAATTATGAGTTTCCTGTAGCTAATTATATTTATGTTATTATATAATTATCCTATGGCTGGTGTGGAACGACAACGGAAAACGGATACATAAGGAACTGGCAAGAGATTGTGATCTGTCGTTGGTCAACGACATATAAATATTGACTGAATCTCAGTGTAGATGCATTTGTAACTCTATGAGGCCTTTGCGAGATGGATAATTAATAAAGTTTTGTGATGTATTAACGGATAGCGCCTAAGGAAACATACGAAAAGATTTTTATACTAGACTAGTTGATCTATTTACGGAGATTGTTTTTTTTTATACTTAGATATATTTCTATCGTCTGATTTAATATAATTTGATATCTATATTTATATAACTATGTAATATGATTTATTAGTGTTGTTTGTTTTTATTGATTCATTATATAGTAACAATGATTTCGATTAATCAGTTGACGGCTAGACGTAATACTTGCGATGTTAACATGTTTTATTATTTTATCGTTGGTAGGTTTAGTTTTGGTAAGTCGTGATCGGTGCTGGAGGTCAAAGACCTCTTTCAATTATTTTAAGGTAGGGAGGAACGATTTGAGGTTGCGCATTTAGTAACTAATATTGGCATTCTACAATTGGGACTAACCTAGCGTTTATGTATGTATTTTTCAATTTAATATTTAAGAATTGTTACATTTTTAGCTAAACACTTAGAGTGATACGGTAACTGAAATGTGATAAAATGGTATGGTGCTAGAACGAAGAGTGAACACGCTGCGATTCGACTCCTTTTGTAATAATAATGTTTTAACGATTAGTTAATTTGCATTAATGTAAGGCATCTACCATCAGGTTGCATCTGTAAAGACAACGGGTACTAACATACGCGTCTCGTATAAAAAAAACACTTAGAGATTACAGTATCACTCGAGATTTTTATCTTAATTTAATTTTTTCAGACCTCTTAAAATTTACTAATGTATCTAGATTGTTAAGTGGCCGATTGTATAAAAACAGTTTTAATTCTACCAAAAACATTGTATGTCGGTGGGATATGACAGCATCTTGAAAAACAATACCGTGATCGTTTCATATATTATCTAAGTTGTGGCATTAGTGCTGTTTAGTAGCTGTGAACATGCAATTCACTTGTGCAATTTTTTTATATATATATTTTTTTTTATAATAGTCATAACTCGTACCTAGATTATACAATTTGTCTATTAAATATAGGGGCCCACTTGATATATAAGCACTAAGCTCGTTTGTTCCTTTACCAATATATAATATAACTACCAAACGTTTCTTCCACAAAGAATTATTATATTTAATTTTTAAGATTAATGAAGATTTTTATATGTAACTTTCTTAAATAATGTGGGCGCTTATCATTTGATGGCATTTCATACTCAGTGCAATATTGCTAGTTATTTAATAACGTAACCAAACTAAAGGATATTTTAAAATAATTAATGTCTTTGAAGAGAGTAACTACCAAGTTATATTTACATAAGTGAATCCTAATTTCTATTATAACCCAGCGTAAAGAAGTTTGGTTTACGGGAATGTACAGGTTATATAGCTGGTAATATTAAGTTAGCTTGTTTACCTCTGCCAATCGTAATGTTTTTTACTGTATATTAATTTATTGTCGCGCAAGTTAAATGTCTATTGTTGAATAGATCATAGCTATCCGGTACGGGTTCCCTTGCCCAGTGTAAGGAGGAAAGTATGTTAAACGCTTCATCTGATCTTGAATGCATTTTTGTATGTTATTATCACTGGAGACCAATTTTTGAATAATGTATTTGCTTCGGCAAATGTTTTAGTAACATAGTGTATTATTTTAGATATTTTAGGTTAGGATACTTTGATAGTGTCTGGCCAGAATATTTTGGAGTATCACATCGTTTGGCTCAGAAAATATCTCCCTTTGATCTCTTTTCAGCTTTCAGAAAGTATGCAACTTAATGATTAATTTTACGAATACTACTTTATTGGACTTAATGAAAGCGAACTTATGCCATATGGAATTTACACATAAGAATAACGAATTACTAAATTTAGTCTTATGAAAATGAGGTCTTGAGGACCTAGTCACTTATTTGGCCAATCTAATTGAATATTCCAATTTATTGTATATTATAAATTTACCTTAACGTCACGTCGCGGAGACGTGACTTTTATAATTCTGAATCAATGGAGTGCAGGATGAGCTCTATGGTTATTTTCAGGATAGCGATGGTCTAGTAATGTTTTTATTTTGTTTCTTCTTTGTAACATTAGCAAATTTGTTATAGTGTCGTATATCACAATAGTTTAATTTTAATAGGGACGGGGGTGTCAAATCGTATAGCCTAACAGCTGTTATATTTTTACATAAAATTTTATGAACGATTTGTTGTTTATGATTTAATGTCTTGGTTTGATGCCTCCATTAAAAGTTTAATTTAAATAATTTTGTTTTATGCAAGCAGTTAATGCAATTTTTTTTATTTTTATTTCACATTGTTTGATGTTATGTAATGCAATTTTAACATGTTGCAAACTCCTGCATTTATCTGTTGTATTTATTACTAATTTTTACATTAAATTGTGGTATGTTACAATTCGTGTAGTTTCAGTTGTGCGTTTTACACGCTCCACCCCATTTGCAGATTGTATTTACCTTACCTAAATATGATGCACGGCCTCTTATTAAGCCTAAACACTCGCCGTATCTGTGTACACAGCAATGCTTCTAGTTGAATTCATCATCATCTATACATGGTGCATGAGAAAAGATAGCGTAGCAACTGAAAGTGTTGTTGAGTTTGTGGGCCGTTTTATAAATGTAGAATATCAAGAGTTCGATGTGACAACATTACCCGCTTCTGATCAATGTGCTTAGTACGAGATTACACAGTGAACCTAAAAACAGGCCGATTCTGTGTCTTTCATTCGATGTAATAAATCCATACAGTCATATGAGAAGAATGAATGAAATACCGTGAAACCGTCGGTATTTAGGTTGTCGTACCATCTACCAAGCATGATACAGTAATACAATAGTATCATTAGGAGATAATAAACTATATAAGATGGGGGTTGTATCGCAGAACGTGGTCCCGCTCAATACTCCTACCACAGCATGTTCGTTGCGGCGGCCGACAGCGCTGCCTTATGGCGTTGCAAGTCATGCGGCAAGGAGGTGTCCAACCGCTGGCACCACTACCACTCACACACCGCCCAACGATCTCTCTGCCCCTACTGCCCCGCTACATACAGCCGCATCGACACTCTGAGATCTCATCTCCGCAACAAACACACCGCTCTGCTGCTCAAACACTAAACGCAAACGCCCCCGACCCCGATCTATGCGAAAGTGCACCGAATTTGCATCGACTTACCCGCTGAGAATACTGACGTGTTTCATTCAAACTTATCACATAATGTTTATAAATGAAAAACCTTGGTAGTTTTAGTATTTTAGTTGATGCCAGTTCGTATGCGCGCTGTATTATATTGACGTGTTTTGTCATAATTCTTCGAGTATTAGATAATTTATAGCACGTTTTTGTGCATTGTTTATTGTTCTATGTATGGTAAATGTTGTCAACAGGGTAAAATTATGAATTGGGTAGGTATTTTGGACTACTTATCGAGTGGGCCTTGACAGTCCGCACTCGTCTTGAAGCTTCTGTTTGTAATTAATGTTCATAACAAAATTCAGTATTAAATATCTGTTAATATATTAAGCGTCTCAAATTTACTTATAGGCTTGGGAAATATTTAATGCTTCCCTCATCTTTCCGATATTATCAGGAATTTAATCTATTTGCATTACAATTATTAATATAAACATATTTCCAATTAAATTCATAGTTTATAAGATGCATAAACGGGATCCGTTATTACATCAAGGCACATCGACTTGTAATAGCTAAATTAAAGCATATTTTTAAGTAATAATAAATTTCAATTAAACATTAAGGATAGCTCGAAGGAAACGTAACGTGAAAGACTGAAATGGCAACAACTTGTGATTGAAGCTGAATGAAGAATGGATTTTTTGTAAATAAGTACTTAGGTTGTATATCGAAATTATTTAACATCTATGTACTGGCTGTTGAGATCAAAAAGAACTTAACGTGTTGAAAATTGAGCCATTTTATCAATATCTAAGTGTCTTGTTTTGTCCCCAAATTATATTTTTGTATAGATATTATCGGCGATAAATGCATTATATTAAGTGTTTAGGTTCGAGTTTATAATGGTCCAATGTTGTTCGACTAAGTACGTAAAGTTATTAATGTATAAATATGACTATGGACGTGCTGAATTTCTTAAGCTACTTTATTATTGTAAATAAATAATTCACAATTTCTCAATGTACGATATTACATTCGGGTTAGCCAAATATAATATAATTATATCTAATTGGGTAATTTTAAACAATAAAACTATATCTACGTTGTCTTTTGATGTACTTAAATCTTAGAATATGTAAGTACATTTTGTTATATTACATTGTTTTGTTTTTATTGTTAAATATTTCTTCATCCAATACAGGCTTATAAAATATTCGTAAATGTTAGTGATGTAGGAAACGATTACTCAATTACATTAATGTTGTAAATAATTTTATTAAATGTAAGAAATAAAACAGACTTTTATTCATTTACACAAAACATTATCTTTAATCAAATACATTAATAAGAACGTTCAACATACATAAAGACGTAGGTTTTAATGACGAATAATTCCAATATTGCACATATTATGAGTATCATTTTTCAGGATCAAGTAATTTTTCTAAGCATTTACTCGTTAACTTTTGTAATATAACATTAAATTGCTATAAGATACTAGTACATAATTAAATAAAGATAATTTCCCAATTGAGTAAATAAGAGAAACACTGGCACTATTCAAAAAAAGTATCGAGTTCAATCTCCCTTGTTCATACACGAATTCATCAGTTAATAATATATTACACACATTAATTTTAATTATAATTCACAGACTTGGATTTTTTTACATTTTATCAGTTATGACTTTAGCACAAAAATAGTGTTTAAAATTTCCTAATACTTTGAACAACATCCATGAAAAGACAAACCTTTTTAAAAACTTGTAAGTGCCAAATTTGTCGAACTTTAACAGATTTAAACTTAATCTTTTTGACTTATAGAGCATATCTATATGTTCCACTAATTAATTATAAAAAAGATATCCTAATTTATCTTAAATCCAAGCCAGCATAACTTAAGTACATAATGAATTAAACATGGCGAATTATGGCAAGTTTAATTCCTTAACTAAAACATAAACTTTTAATATCATCAAAATAGCAGGTTCTCTGGACTCTATATCATAATAAACATTAACAAAAAAAGTTAAGTTTTGCTTTAACCGTTGTATAAATACTTAAAAGACTATCACTTACAATGGAATCAACACTGTATCACAGTAGTAGTCACAAGTTTAAAAGTCACTAGGAGATTTCAAACATAATTAAACAAAAGAGTATCTATACTAATATGTTTCAAAAAATATCAATTAATTATTCATCTTGTAATCTCTGAACATTTCCACTACTGCCAGGCGATTCGACAATTACATTCAGTTGGTTTACGGAATCATTCTGACTGTTATCTTGTCTTTTACTTTCCGTCACAGAATCATCAGTTTCTTTTGATTCATTTGAATCGTCATCTTGCATTTTTTCAGCTTTTTTATTTTTATTCTTCCTGAACTGTTCTTCCATTTCTTTAAACTTTAACGACAGGTACCTACAAGAAATTTTCAATAAGATGAGGATAGTGTTCACTCTAAAATACATATTATAATAAACTAATAAATTCTTAATACTCACTTGTCTACTAAAGGTCCGCTGTAGTCCTCTGGGAACTTAGGTGAATGTGGCAAAATATATTTGTATAAACTTTCATTTAGAACATACAGTTGAGCGGTTGATGAGCAGCGTACATTGAACCACCAATCACATGTTAGTGCCGCTTGAGAAAATATCGTCCCGTTAGGACACAGGAATGAAGCTTGACCGCCATTTAAATCACAATAATGCCACACCTGTAATATTACATGTTAATAATTTCTGAGATATTAAAATTTTACTGAAAATATAATGAAGTATTTACTAATTTGTTTACCTGACATCTCGTTTCGGGATCAGCAAAAAATCCTTTATAACGTTGCGTTTTACAGTTAAAACTGGTTTCAGGTATAACAGTTAAAATGGGATAGTCGACATCTGGTTTACCAGGAGTTCCACCCTCCTCCTCAGATGTAACTGGAAGAGGAAAACGCTGAGAGCTACTGCCACCAGTTGGATACTCTGTAATAAATCGATAAAAACCATTTATTTATAATAACATTTTATAAAAAAATGCCATAATATTATACTTAACCATCGATATGTTGTGAGGGCGTGTGAATGGGAGCAAGCAAAGGTTCATGGATATCAGAATTTTGTGGTCTTGCGGTTGTAGCAACAACGGTATGCGGAGTCGTTGGGACAGGTGTTTCAATCGCTTCAAATGGCTTAGGTGTACTTAATACGGTTGTTTCCACGTCATTCTCCTGGGGTATTGCTCTTAAAGCATTTAAAACTTGTAATAATGTCTTAATTGAAGCTCCGACGTTTTCTCTAGTTATTGGTTTCGGTATTGATTTATTTATCTGTAATGAATTAAGTAAATCCGCTAAAGCCACCGATTTTGAAGAACTGTATTGCTCGTTTTGGGTAGGCGGTTGTTCTATAACATATTGAGGTCTATATTTTGTTACTTCAGACTCTATTTGAGGTGGTTGAATCAACTGGCCTTGTTGTTGCTTTTCCTGATAGTAATCGTCATATGGTATATGTTGCACAGTCGATGTATACACAGGGTCTTCAGTAGGTGCTATTTGAGATTTTATAATAGGTTTAAAACCACCTTCTATCACTGGTTCTGATAATACAGGTTCATATGGTCTTCGTTCGTAGTAGACTTCTGAAATTGTCGTCGGAGGTTTTCTTGGCTTTGGTTGGTGGGTATTTTCATAGTAATTTTGGGCGGGCTGATAAATATGCGGTCTTGGTTTGATATAAACAGGTTCTTCGGGTAAAAGAACAGGAACATTGTATTGTTTATTGTAATGGACATTTTTTTCAACGTTTACTGGCGGAGTCTGGTCATAAGGAACAAGCTTATATTTTGGAGATTCTCCTTGATTGGATTGAATATACTGAATGTTGGGAATATTTTCATGGTTATAGTTATAGTACGGCTTTCTGGTTTGTGGCTTCGTAAATGGAACACTCGGTGCTTTAACAGGTTTCGGAAAGTAGCTGTCATATAAATGATCCCTATTGTCGGTGGTAGGACTATAGTTGTGATTTGCTTTTGGTATATGTTGGTACACAACAGGAAAAACGTCTTTATAGAACAATTTATTCGGACTTGATGAGGCTATATTAAATGGGGTTAACCGATTTCCTTGGTATCTGGGAATATCTTTTTGCCTTTGTGAATAAATTATTTTTGGTTCTCGCTCCATAGGCCGCGAAGTTCCAGCTTCAATAATTTCTGCCTTTTCAACTTCTACATTATTAGTGTAAGATTCGGTTGTGGGTGGCAATAAATCATTAGCATAGTAAAATGTCATATAGGGTATTAATCTTCTGTACCTTTCATTAATGGCCAATTGAGTTGAATTTAATTTAAGACTCTTATTTGTATCAAATTTATGCGCTATAAAGATTGCAGTATTAATATTATTAGAGGCTGCTGTTTCCATTCTTCCAACCATTTTCGTCTCAGGGCTGTTCCCATTAGGTGATATACTTATTGTCGAAACAAGAGTTGGTGACACTGAAATACAAAAAAATATTAAACCTACCAGAACGAAAGTCTTCAACTATGTTTCTTTCACAGCAAAAAGTAATATGCAAACCCCTACAGCTAAATTCCACATCGTTATCTTATGCATTTTGATCATTTTCTGTCTTCTCAATTTTTTAAAAAAGATATACGAATAATATCAAAAAATATATTACGTTCTCAATATTAATTCAGAAATCTTAACTATTAGGGAAATAGAAATGACAAGAACTTTCTTTGAAAATATTTTATATAATTGTTTTGTAATGAGGAACTAATTACTACATATGATAATTTAATTAAGACTAAGACTCGAAAACTGTTTTCTCAGAAGATGTGTAATTTATGTATCATAATTTATTTAAAAAACTTTACAGATATATTTTTTGGTATCAAATATAACGAAAATAAAATAATATTATAGGTAGCTATCTAAAATAACTACTAGGATATTATTTTTAATTATTAGACATTTATAACCTTCATAAAATGAGTGGCATTATAAGTCCCACATCCTGTATGCCATATCCTAGACAGCGACACGACTGTCACACTACCTTTGATATTAGTTAGTAGATAAACCTTTATTCCAACGTTTATTTTACAGTCGAGTATACGACCTAAGGTTTACTCTAAACAAACTTAACCTTTTTATAACAAGGCACGACGATAAAGTTCAAGATTCTGACTTCTTGTCAATTATTATTATCTATGTATTTTATAAAATATATTCTTGTCAATATTACTTATTGCAGAACAATCAAAATTCAAAGTTTTTGTCAAGGTACACTTCAAATGTTAAGCGTATGTTGGTTTTACTTCCTATTATACTTTTACTAGGAATTACAACAATCAAGGCCTTACTGAGTATTTTTATAAATTTTGCACATATTTATGACGGCATAAAACTTGCCCTCTCTCACCCTTACTTAGCTTAGTAAAAATATATGTTAATATTTAAAAAGATTTAGAAAGTGATCATTAGACACTCGCATATGCATAATACATAGCTACTTAATTACTATAATCCCGATATCTTATCTTGATAATATATTACAGAAAACTATTCATAAACTTTAAAATGTAAATAGAAACGTGAACTATACCGAGTATAGTCGAGAAATAAGACGAAACAAATAATCATACTGGAGATAGTTATTTGATCTTATAATTTAACCAAATCATAGTTCCCTACGACGCGAGGAGTCTGAACGAATCTAACTCATAATTCATTAACCTTAAACTTTACTTTCATAAATAAGTACTTCTCAAACGTAATTAGTACTTAATTACATAAAATAATTTGAACATGACATATTCTTTCATTATACTGATATTATTATTTTATATTTTTTATATATATTATAATGCAATATTATGGGTTCAATAAGTTAAAGGATAAGAAAACTGAATTGTTAATAGTTTCAGTTCGCAGTTATTTCGACTTTTCGAGTCATGACCAATAAGACAGCAACAGTAGTTAACTTACAATATTTTTACTCTGGTCTCAGTCCATCATATTTAAATCTATTACATATTAAAATGAATTTCATGTTTAAACTTTATACATATTTATAAGTAATTTCTACTTATTTTTATGTTAGGTGCAACACTGCGCTGCCTCAGCTAATGGGTATTATTTAAACAAACATTCTTCTCAACCTACATGTTCTGACAATCGGTCACGGCCTAAGAACTCACGCATTTCCCAGTACCTATCTACCCCATTATCCAGGTAGGTACTAACTTCTTAGGTAATAACTGAATACTTAAATTATACAAACTTATAAATACATATACATATTTTCCATACTACTGCCAATAAGCTATTGTGTGTAATTAAGTTCTGCTTAGTATATCGTTAAAATTAAGGGATTAAAACCCTCAGATTACATATACCCTAATTTACAAGTAAATATTTACGAATTATACAGAGTTATTAAAACATAGAAATACTTTAAGATACAAAATATCAAACAACATATACCTACTCTTTACTGCATTACAGCCTTTCAATATTATTATTTTTCTGTTATACGTATTTTTAATAATATAAGTATATCTATACTTATCCAATATTAGATAAATCTTATGTAAGTATTGGAAAAATAGAACGAATCGTATTAAAAGACGTAACTTTTGTGATAAAATTTCGAGTTAATGTTATTCCGTCTTCATAGAAAGCAGATGACTTAACGACGCATTATAAAATTACCTAATATTCTCTATTTCTGCTTTAAATATGTTATCATTATTTAATAAAAAAAGTTCTACTATAATAAACATTTGTTTTCCTATTTTGATGGATAAAGTCTCGCATTTTGTATATTTTATATTGTAAGTTCTAACAGATATTTTACAACATTTTGTATTAAATAAATCAATCACGCACTTTAGGGAACATTTTTTAAGAATATACGTAACATGCTATGATTACCCACGAGTCACGACATCTGAATCATATTCTTAAGCTAAAGTTCTATTATGGCTTTACTACAACAAATACTTTATTGAATGGGTTTATTTCAATTTACACGATCATTGAGCATATGCCTAAGTGATAGAAAGTTTGTTATTATAGTGAAAGCGTCGCATAGTAGGGCCACGCGAAAAGAACTTGCATAATAATCACAGATTAGGTGAGATTGTGGTATGAACCGGTCACAAGATTAGATGTTTACCTATTTGACCGGATATTCATACGTCATATGCATTAGCTTTTAATTGATTACATACCAAAGATGTCATTTTGTATTAAGTCCTACGACATATCCCGGATAAGTGAAATAGTTTAAAAAAACACGAATAATTTATTAATCTTCTAAAATGCCAATAAACATTTTTGCCCACTAAGTATAGTTCTAGAAACAAAAAATGCAGTATTCCTAGATGGTTTCTTAAACTTGAATTAACGATTTATTATCTCCCTAGTGTACTAATTCATGTAATTAATACAAACACGCTGTATACAATAACAGTTGTCAATAAATATTTCATTCACATACCAAATTTTTTTTTTTTTTTGAACTTCAATTTATAACGGTCGTTAACTACCAAAAACTCAAATGGGTGCTGTCCTAACGATTAATTATTCCATTCTAATGAGACCAAACGGGAATATTTTATTATTTGCCTTCAGGTTTGTTGTAGCTGATAGCATGAATATTGCAAGATTAGTATTCATGTAGCTTGCGAAATACTACATAGCCTTTCTCTGCAAATTAGATACGTTTGTCCATACCGAAATAGTCTCATTTCAATTCCAGATTCCTGACAACGTTTGCATACAACATTTTACTGTGCTGCAGACGTACTCTATTGTCTTAAGGTATTTGGAATGAAGAAACAGTAATTAAAGATCTCCTGAGATAGCAATTATAAGACGTGCAATTTTTAAGTGCCCTTGTATCTAATTACAAAGGTTCTTTAATAAATATATTATATTATATTTATCTTCTAGAACCGTTTTTTTATAACGTTATTTTATAATATAAAATTAAAAAAACATTTGTAGATATTAGTATCTAAAAATGTTTTTTTATTAAGGATTAGTCCTTAGCGTATCGTATAGAAGGTTGCAAACATAACATATGGCCTTACAACTCTAGTTAAGATAAATTTAACAACTTTGATATGAAAGGGATACCTTAACCTGCAATTGCAAAATACTTGAAACGAACTAAGTAATATTAATACATTAAGAGCTAAGTGCATTCACAACAAATTAAACTATGAAAAAAATATTTTTACACTCGGATGCCCAAGAATCTTGCGTGATATTTCATATTTACAGATAAAGAATTTTAAAACACATTCTTAACAACTGTGGTTACGGAGCCACGGAAGTAGGACAAGGAGTTAATTAAATTAATTTATAATTTTATTTATTATCACTAAATAATTTCTTAAACATATTTTTGTAAACGTGTTTTTACGCTATTCGTTAATGTTCCTGAAGTAATCGTTAAACGCCTGGAATGTAAATTAACTTTGTTTTAGAAATTACATTTGTCGACACCGGTCAAATTATCTTGACTAATACGGTTTGTCGCAAGTGAAACTACATAGAAATTGAATTTCAATCTAAATCAAAATAAACTGGGACTTGTTTCGGAATTTTTCTTACTTTCTTTTCTTCAACCTTATTTCGTCCATGTATCTCACTTTTTATACGGACTTATTGTTGCAGGTTTGATTTATTTCTAACAACTACATATACCTTATAATTAATAATGTAGTATATAATTGTTGGATGCAAGACCTATAATTATACTGTCAACATTACTTCATACTTTTCGTGTCCATTTTCACGGTATTATGAAACGATTCTATTTTAAAATCGCTAACTTATCACTTCACTATCTTTACAATACCAGTTATTATAGAGGATGTATTGGATTAATTGTTTACAATGAAATTGAAGTGTCTATGCAACTGAGAGCGAAGTACATAATTTAGCTGTTAGCAAAACCTTGATTGTGGTTTCACACATGGCGTAACGACATAGTAGTAATTCTTTTTGTTTGATATTTATGTACCAATTACAATATCGTTACTATAATTTACTTCTGCTATGTTGAATATGTAGTATTTGTTATAATAAAAAGGTAGTATTGTTATAATGAATGTTGAGCTTGTATTGATCGGTAGGTTTATATGTATGTCGAACACTTCAATTAACAACAAATAAGTTTTATCGATATGAAAGAAATTAAGGAATATATACAGAAGATAACATAAAGCAGAAAGCTGTTCACTTCTGTTGAAATCTCAAAGTGGGTCAGTAACTGTCACCACAGATCCTATCAGGACCGAATTATATCGAAATACTTTGTTATTAGATAGTACATTGTTCCACTTGCATGTTAAATCTTATCGTTGAATGTTTTTTTTTCCATCTATTATTTTTATTGCTTCGTATCTGTATCA